AACTACCCAGCCCACCATACTAATACCCAGTGTCATCAGGGTATTCTTACTTAAAAAATCTTAAACTAATTTATCTCGATACACTTCTAATACACACTTCTTACACCAGATATTTAGAGTACACCCAAATCACCATAATCTAGGCACTTTCATGGTACATACTTTTAACTAGGCTCTCACAGGATACACTTAAATTAAACTTTACAACATCATTGTATAGTCTTTAGTCCCTTGAACTTTAAGGGGTTCAAGGTTATCATGACTCAGTTTTTTATGCCCACGTGTGTGTGTGTGTGTGTGTGTGTGTGTGTGTGTGTGTGTATAGTTATCTCGGTATGCTTGTTAATCCTTGAATCTGTCTTACCACATTTACTATTCAATCAGTTTATGTATGTATTTTCTTCCTTCATCCAATGTTCATAATTTTACTTTTTCTGATAATTACCCGTATTTTTTTTTCTGGTGCTTATCTTGAAAACAACTCTTATCGCCTTCTGTTTCAACGTCCCTTTAGAAGCCAACATAGGTATTGTACTTTACGTGAGTGTTCAAGAAACGACGGTATACTCATGAGAACATTCTGTATCCTTTCACATTATCACAGGACACAAGATATGAAAATCCCACCTTTGTACCCTCTAGGAAAATTAAAACAACAACGACATTTTACATAATTTTAGTTTAAATAATTATTGTTTCACCATTCTTAGATTACTCTTTAGCAGTATTACATATCATGTTAATTGAATAAGACTTTTTGAAAGGAAAACCCACGTAGGATGGGCGTGTACTGACCAGTCTTCCAGCTCAGCCCCTCAGGATGTGATCTTGACCACATCCTCACGCCGAAGTGTTTCAGTCTCCAACTTGCCAAGAAAAACCTCGCTGAACAATGACTACACTGGCATATACCGTCACTACATCACTAAAATAATAACTCATCGCTATTAAACACGAGATGTACAAATCCTTTACAATGATGGCAACTCCTCACAACTAATACATCGACTTATACATAGACAAGTAAGCAATTCATTTTCTATTGATAAATCCTGTTAACGAACGTGATATAATAATCAGTGTGAGTTAATTTTTGTACCTAGTATATCCACGACACAACAAGAAGCTCTAGTAAACTGGTACATATCCAGACGTACAGTTCCCACCACACTTGTTTTTTTTTTCTATATACGTTACAAGAGTAATTTGGATAATAACACATATAAATCAAACACCAATTCTTATTAAGTAAAACGAATGAAATATCAAAACTAATAACCATAAACTTCAATTCATCGTACTGGTTATGACATTACAGTTCCTACTTTAAGAAGACGCCTCATTAACTCAACCATCAAGAAAGACCATGTAGCAGGTGCAGTGCTTCCTCTATTCAGATAATTATGACATTAAACATACGCCGTCATCTTAAGGTTAACTAATACACGATCCTTTTTTTTCAGCAGTCAAACCACATCTTCAGTATATCGTTCAGGACGGAGGCTGTTACCAACACCGACTATGAACCTGGTCCTCGGTAAGACAGGCATGTAACTCTTTCGTTGTAATGTTGGTAAAGCAAGTGTACCATAGGGCACGTTATTCGTCATTTTTACACCAGTAAGATAATTACTATAGTAACCTGCTCTATCTGAAATAACTAGTATAATAAATTGATATATATATATATATATATATATATATATATATATATATATATATATATATATATATATATATATATATATATATATATATATATATATATTGACGGGTTATTGTCATCAAACCAGTCCTAGCGTATTTTTACGATCTGGCCGAGGAGTCGATGCAGGTTTTTGTCATGACAATGTCGAGAATATCGCATTCGGCTCTGAGATATGGGTTGTTTGTTGTCGGGTTGTTTATCAGCACCATGTGCGAGCTGCTTTCTGAAAGCATGTGCTTCTACTGGATCCTCCAGACGCTTAGTCTTAAAACTTCTTCTGGAGGCTTCCTGCCTTCGCCGTTTTGAGGTGACGTGAAGTGAGATCTTGGCTCTGACGAGCCGATGATCAGCGTTGCAGTGGCCTGATCCACGCATGGCACTGGTGATGAAGACATCTCAGCGATCTCTTTCTTTGACAATGATGTAGTCAATGAGATGCCGGTGTTTGGATCGTGGGTGTTGCCACGAACCCCTGAACTTGTCGGCCTGCCTAAGCAAGGTATTGGTGATAGTGAAGTTGTGTGCAACACACTTGCTGAGGAGGAGTAGGTCGTTGAAGTTATACTTGCCTAGTCCATTTCTCCCTATGGTTCCTGCCAACTCTAACATTAAAGTCACCAAGGAGGACAACCTTATCTTCTCTGGGGATAGAGGCTAGAACTCTGTCGAGGTCAGCGTAAAAGGCCTCCTTGATGTCATCCTCTAAATCCAGTGTTGTGGCGTATGCACTGATGTAAAAGGCATGACGTGAGTGATTCAGTGGGACTCGGAGCGTCATGAGGCATTTCAGTTAGCCTGTGTAGGATGCGTTGGTGGATGGCAAAGCCAACTCCATAAGTGCGGTTTCTCTCCGCAGCTGGCTTACCCTTCCAGAAGAAGGTGTAGCCAGATCCCCGTTCTGTGAGTTGAACCTCGTCTAGTAGCTGGGACTCACTAATGGCTGTTATGTCGATGTTACTCCGAGCCAGCTCTTTTGCCACAAAGCCGGTTCTTCTTTCTGTACTCTCATTTGTGCCAATATCCAGAAGGGTCCTGACATTCCATGCAGCGACCGTAAGAGGGTGTATAGTTTGCTTTTGGTTTGATCCGTGATTTTGATTGTGCGGTTGCCCAGTCAGGTTGGATATTTAGGCAGGTTATTTTTAGGGCACCTTTTCTTGCTCACTCCCCATGTGGGGTGAGCAAAGTGGCTCCTCGAAAGGGCTGTTCAGTCGCACAGACAGGACCGGATTGCTGGCTGCCTAGATCCCTGTGCATAAACGACCATCTTATCTATGCCGCCCATGTGCAGAGTTGTGACTAGAGACTCCCGGCAGTCATCTCCGCCTGTCCCTGTCGCCACTTGTCCGTCGCTATAAGACTTTTGGGGGTAGAGGGGTTTTGATGATGATGAGAGGTATTATGAGCTGGATGATGTTTCCCTGTTTGCCACGAGGGCTAGCCAGCGACGCTAGCTGAAAACGAGAGGAGCAAGCATTGCTTGCACCTTAACACTAACATAATGCTGCCACACTAGTCGCATTTCACCACCCTGTACACACACACACACACACACACACACACAGATCTCTCTATCTCTATCCTTTATCATAGTTAGATAAACATAAACCCCGTCCTGTCCGTTCCTAGAATCTTAGTATTACCAGCTGTATAATAACATAATTAAATCGAGTCAACAAAAACAATTGTACTGTTATTATTTTTTATTGATTACGCATTTTAGACTTTTAAATTTACTCTGACTATGGTAAATAAGAAGGTGTAGTTGACCGCCAACATATATCTTTATTGTCAACCCCGACTACTCTTTTCCTGGAAGTGACGGTTACTCCTCAGTATATATATATATATATATATATATATATATATATATATATATATATATATATATATATATATATATATATATATATATATATATATATATTTATTTATTTATGCTGATAACCACAAGGAAACAAAGAAAACACGAAGTTCCCAAGCTCTTTCGTGTAATTCACATCTTCAGGGGTGAGTACAGACTAAAGAGTAATACTTGACAAGGCTAATATATACAGTAGAGGAGAGTGAGATCGAGTTCCGGTCATAAGGCAGTGACCCTTACTAATCTTCTTAATAAAAAAATTGACCATGCCATCTCTAAGCACAGCAGCTGTCCCTAGTCAGGTCATAGGGTAAGATGACCCAACCTTCTCACCTGGTTACAAATCATCTTAATCACAAAATTATCCAGTTTGTACATACCATTACACAAATTCATGTTGACAGATTCGGTATGTTTAATGAGACTGGATTCTATAATGTTCCTATTGACAATTGAATTACAAGGTAATATTGAGGAGGCATTATCCCAGTCAAAGCAATGCTTATTATCTCTCATATGAATGAACAGAGCATTGGATTCCTGGCCTGTCCTAACACTATATTTATGCTGTTTAAGTCTAGTTATAAGATCTTTACCCGTCTGGCCTAAGTAGAACATATTACATTCCTTGCAAGGAATGTGACATTTAAAAACTCATGCACTGTAAAGCAAATGTTAATTAAGAACTCCTCCAACAATGCAGGCGGCTGCATTTACTTGGATCACGCGCACCTACAGTGATTTACTTGCATATATATATATATATATATATATATATATATATATATATATATATATATATATATATATATATATATATATATATATATATATATATATATATATATAAAGAATGATAAATGTATGTACTACAAGTGGAATTAAAGGAAATTAACTTTTGTATTTTCGGTTTATTCTTAAGAGCACTTTATTGAAGACGGGAGAATTACCTTGCCTAAATGATTTACATAGTCTTCAACATAGTCGACCGACATTACTTTCTTTATGATTGTTTATTTACTGAGGACTATATGTTATTATGTGAGGCATTTTGTCATCGGGATTCACTGGTTTGTGTCACGCCCATTTCCGGTAAGTTAAAGCTCATTGCCATCACAAGATGAACAATCTTTTTATTAATTAATATCGAGGTACATGTATATTTGTTCCGCTAAATTAATGAAGTAAAACAATAGAGCATTTAAAATAAGGTAAAGCGAGCTTTCGAATAAAACAAGATAGATGAATTAACAGTTGAAAAGCACCAAGAAAATTTACCTCATGAAATTCGTGTTAGTCGCCAGCGGTCACCACCATTACCTATGTTAAAACAGACGAGGAGAATATAAATGAACAGAGCCAACTTGCCTTTATCATCATCGAGTTGGACCAGACAAGTAAACACACGTCAGGAACACTTGTACTTACCTCTTGTGTTAGGTGGAAGAAGTGGGTAGGTGCATGGTGGTGGCGCTCCTGCCTCAGCGTGACCCCGGGATAGTGACAGGTTTGCCCACTTCACCACTTAGCCTTTCCATTTTATACACTCGCCCATTTTGAGGGATTTTCCGTCAATTTTGTGTATTGCATTGCCATAAGAGCACACTGGAGTTTCTTAATAAAGGTAAGAGGAGGTTAATTGGTTCCTACTTGCACTTGGGGAGCGTATTTTGGCTTCAATATGTCCCTAGCGACAGGGTGCACGACCACGCTCGCCCACAGTATCTCCGTCAATGGTTGGCCAGAGAGGGTGCCACATCCGTCCATCCTGAGTTATCTTAGTGGCCGTCGGGGCTCTCCTAAACTTCCTTGCTCTCAGCTATTAGTGCCTTAATTACATGTTCTCCAGTGACTGCTAAATTAAGGTGTTTCTGTACTTTAGTCACCTGTGGGTTGCTTGGTCATGGAACACCTATTATTTAAGTTTGTTGACGAATTTTCACAACAAAAAATAATCATAGCAAACCCCTGTGTGGATCATCCCCGGTAAATTGAAAAAAAAAATCCATAATTATATTTTATGCGTTAGAATAAAGTTGACATCACACACATTATATCCACTTCGTTAACGCGTTTTACTAAAAGGAAAATATAAGTATTAACTTTTGTCGGGATTTAATTAACCAGGACGCGGAGAGAGATAACCAGCGGACACTCGGGGTCTTTCTTTCTAATAATAATAATAGGAGTAGTTGCCGCTAGTGTTCGAGGAAGGCCGGCCCTAGGGCCACCTAGGTGTGTATTTGTTTAAGGTATAGAAGCTGTCGCTAACATAACCACCATACCCTAAGTTAACGAGCTGTATGACCCAGTGTCAAGGAATAATTCGGGAAGACCGGACAACTCGTCAACTGCACTGGCTAACCATTACCCCGAAATACGATCCGCAAATCGATTAACATTCAGGTCCCCAATTACTGCTGGATAGACAGAGGCAAATGGCGTAAAGAAACTTGCCCATAGTGTCACCCTGACGGGGGTCGAACCTTCTAATAAAGCTAAATTAAAAGACCAATTCTCGACCACATCCCCAACACCACTCAAACAAAAAAAAGCTGAAATCGAGTAGTGTAAAAGTAAACAATTTATATGATATTTAGTTCCGTGTTGTAATCATATACAGTATTATACAAAGCTCTTTATTTTTATTTATTCTTTAGTTGGTTATACAGACACATCGGCTAGTACGAGGCGCCGTGAACCGATGAGGAGCTGACTTTTCATTATTATTATCATGAGGGACTGACTGATCACCAACACTCGGGTCATAAAGGACTGACTCATCACCAACACTCGGGTCATGAAGGACTGACTTATCACCAACACTCTGGTCATAAAGGACTGACTCATCACCAACACTCTGGTCATAAAGGACTGACTCATCACCAACACTCTGGTCATGAAGGACTGACTCATCACCAACACTCGGGTCATTACAGCAGCTCATTATCACAGAGGACACAAGGTCAGGGGCGTCGGCTATCAATTAGGCTTTTCATTTGTCACCTCTCTGTGCAATAAGGTAGAAAGGGTAGTTAATCTTCAGATGATTCGATGAAAATAATAAGAACGGCTCAAAGATTCGCATTTAAACTCGTGGTGTTCAGAATTCTCAATATATTTAGAACCTTCACGTCATTACGGCAAAACAAAAAATTTTACTTCCTCGTCTAAATTTAGAAGTTCTGTTTGTTAATTGCGTTCCGTGATGAAAGTACATATTAAAAAAAATTACAAAACTTTTAAAGTATTACAATACGAGAGTAGTTAGTTATATAGACCCAACCACCCCATTTATCGTTTTCTAAGGTCATGTTATTACTGAAATATTCACTCGTCTGTATTCATCCTTGTGACATGATATTCGTCCTCGTTAATGATATACAGTATACAAAATAACATAAAATCTGCAACTACGTCAGCAGGACTAGAACGGATCTGATACCCGTTATCTGTAGCTGCGACAATGTTGACATTTTCATTTGTCGTGAAACTTAATATAGAGACTTTATCACCCAGTCTTGTTGTGTGCATCCTAAAGTGTAGACAGTGAAATATATCCTGGAAAATTACTTAAGAAAACAAAACCTAGCTTATGAGACATCTCTGTTAGTGTATTTTCAGTATTTGCATTTCACAAACAAAGGGCTAACGGTTCTAGTGACGTGAGCACAGCTGGTGATTAGTGGAGGAAAACATTTTGAGATATGAGTTCATCCAGTCCCTTGAATCAGCTGTAGTGAGAACAGTGAGAAAAAATGGTGTGTGTGTGTACGTGTGCACGATTCGTATGCGTGTGTGTGTGTTTGGGGGGGGGGGGTGTACGCACAGGATGCTGTGCGTACTGTACTAAGCAGCCCTGTCTAGGAACCACTATGCTCACGCCACATGGGGAGGGAGCTAGAAAAGGTGACCTAAACATAGCCCGCCTAAAAATCCAGCCTGACTGTGCAACGGCACCCAGTAAGGTCATCCTAATTCGGTCGAAAACATAATCACAGCTCAAAGCATTAACAAACGATTCAACATCTTATGGTCGCTACATGGAATGTCAGCACCCTTTTGGATATTGGCACAAATGAGCGTCAGGAAAGAAAAACCGCCCTTGTGGCAAAAGAGCTGTGTTGGTATAACATTAACATGGATGCCATTAGCAAGTCCCGGATCCCAGACGAGGGTCGACTCACAGAACGTGAGCCCGGCTATACCTTCTTTTAGAAGGGTAAGCCTTCTCCTGAGAGAAACCACATTTATGGAGTTGGCTTTGCCATTCGCCAATTCACCCTACATTGGCTAGCTGAAATACCTGTTGGGTCAACGAGCACCTCATGGCGCTTCGAGTCCCATTGAAATACGTCATGTCTTTTCATTAGTGCATACGCTAACACTGGATGTAGAAGCTGGCCTCAAGGACACCTTTTATGCCCGCCTTGACAGATTTGGCAGAGATGCTGACTTTTGGCAGGGAGCCATAGGGAAAAACGGAGTGGACAAGTGTAATCCCAAAGGCCTACTCCTCAGCAAGTGTACCGAACAAAACCTCATTACCACCATCACCACCTTTAGGCAGGCCGACAAATTTAAGGGTTCTTGGCAACACCCACGGTCCAAACATTGGCATCTTATTGACAACATCATTGTCAGAGAAAGAGATCGCTGCGATGTTCTCATCACCCGAATATTGCGCGGCTCAGACCACTGTGACACAGGTCATCGGCTCATCTGTACCCCAAAACGGCGAAGACAACAAGCCTCCAGAAGAGATTTTAACACCGAACGACTGGAGGATCAAGCAGTAGAACACGCTTTCAGAGAGAAGCTGATAAACAATCAGACAACAAACATCCTAAATCCGAGTGCAAAATGTTGTATCCTCGACGCTGTCATTACATAAACCTGCAGTGAGATACTCGGTCAGATCAAAAGAAAACACTAGGATTGGTTTGATGAAAATAACCAGAAAATCAATGTACTCATCAATGGTACACATGCTGCTTTAACTGACTGGCAGAACAATCCTCAGTCTCGAACCAAAGCTGATAACTTCCGCCAGAAGAAAGCAATGGCCTAGAGCAAACTTCATAATCTTAACAATGAATGGTGGACAAGTAAAGCATTGGAAATGCAAAAATTTGTCGAGCAACAGAAGATGCGTGAATTTTTCAATTCCACGATAACAATGTATGACCCAACTACTAATAGTGCGGCCCCATTCCGCTCATCCGACGGCAACTCCCTAATTAAAGAGAGAGAATGCATCTGACAGTGCTGGAAAGAGCATTACCAGCCGTGGCTCAACCTAAACACTGATCTGGATGCCCTGACTTTCCAGCAGGTCCCTCAGCATCCAGAGCTAACCCATAACAACTATCCTCCATCCCGTGATGAGGTAGCTACTGCCATCAAGCAGATGAAAAATCGTGGAATCCCAGCTGAGGTGCATAAAGTAGGAAGACCTCTGAGGCGGAAAACTTCCTCTTAGAATTTCAATGTGGCTTTAAGCCATAACATGGCACTACTGACATGATCTTTGCTGCCTGCCAGTTGCAGGAAAAATACAGAGAACGGCGTCCTGACTTGTACATGGCCTTCATCAACCTTACTAAAGGCGTCAAATCGGTCAACAGGGAAGACCTCAGCCATTTTGGTTGCCCACTAAAATTCATCGCCATTGTGGGGCATCTCTAGGATGGCATGAACGGCAGCGTCCTACACAATTGCATCCAGTCTGTGTTCTTCCCCATCCAAACAGGGGTAATACAAGGATGTGTACTGGCACCAACTTTTTTTTCCAATTTCTTGGCTGCCTTCTTTGCTCGGATATGCATCTAATGCCTTTGGCAGACTCTGCACAAGTGTCTTCAGCTGTAGGGGGCTAAAAATATCTACAAATATCTATCAGTGGTCCTCCCCACCCTGCTGTATGGCAGCGAGACATGGGGCACATGCAGGAGGTACCTCAAGGCACTTGAAAACTTTCACCAAAGTAGTCTACGTTCCATCCTTCGAGTTCGCTGGGAAGACAAGAGAACAAATGCCAGCATTTTCACTGACACCAACTGTAGGAGCATCTAGTCTACCATTATCCATGAACAACGACGTTGGACTGGCCAATGGCCATGTTACCTGCATGTGCGACAGTAGACTGCTAAAGCAGCTACTTTACAGTCAACTAACGAGTGGTAAACTTAACGCTGTCAGGTAACGGAAAAGGTATAAGGATAGTCTTAAGACGAACCTGAAAAAAGTACCAAATTTACCCCCTCACCCGGGAGACGATTACTCCACATCGTAACTCTTAGAGGAGCACCACACGAAAAGGTGGCAATACTTTCGAGTTAGCCCGACTGCCTACCAAAGCAGACAAGCACCAGCGCACGGTAGACGCTGACGCCTCCCCTCCCGCTCTAGATGTAGCCCCCTACACGTGCAACATCTGTGGATGGCCCTGCTGGTCCCGTATCGGCCTCTCGAGTCATTTCAGAGCTCACCAACGAAGGTGACATCTTTAATAGCTCATATCATTGTATCATAGCTGGATGATTGTTGTACTCGATTCCGAGTGAGAAGCAAAGTAGTGGTAATAGTAGTAGTAGTGTGTGTGTGTGTGTGTGTGTGTGTGTGTGTGTGTGTGTCACTGAGAGTGAAAGAAGAATATACATCTGAGTAAGACAAACATACGATTGATATCTCGCATCCTTTGGAGTGATAAAAATATTCAAGCATTTACTTTCACTACAGGAAGACGAGTCTTTTATCTCCGCAATTTCAGATGCGAAAAAGTCCTTGCTGTCGACATTGACTCACCCACTTTAAATCTTCATATATACTCCTCTCGCTAATTCGATCTTTTAACATAATCAACTGCATTAGAGAAAAAACAAAAGAAGATCAGACAACTTTACAGGTGAACAATTATGTTCTGGAAGTTGACTGGACAGAACAAAAAAGAATTTAATCATTTTCTGCGATTCTCGGGATACGGTGTTGGACCCTCGCGTCACAGTTACTTGTTTCCTCCGCAGTTGCTATCTTATAACTTCATCCTCATATTCAAACAAACCAGATTTACTATGATTTCAGAACCAGAATGACGAATAGAGAAGAACAAAGCTGGAAGATGATCAAACCGAGTCATTCAACACACACACACACACACACACACACACACTGCTCGTTAAAGAGGAGATATGGTAGAAGCAGAAAGTTCCACTATTTTGCACTGAACAATGAAAGGAATCATTTCCACAAAACTGTGTAGGAAAGCGGGCTCTCGCTAACACGGATTATGAATGTTAAGAAAATAAACGCAGTGCTAGACGCTACGATATATTATAGCTGAGAGTCGTGTATGATGTTCGAGGATAAGAAATTCATTGACGTATGTTTTTAAAAAATATAGTTCATGAACAGACGCAAACGATGAACATGTAAGATTGAAGGATACATATTACTACTTTGCTGTCACTCAGAATCGAGTATGACTACCATTCAGCTATGATAAAATGATAATTATGAGTTATTAAGGATGTCACTTAGATTGGTGAGTTCTGAGGTGACTTAAGAGGCCGATGCGGGACCGGCAGGGTCGATCCAAGCGTTACGGTGTACATGATCGTTTCCCAGGTGAGGGGGTCGATGTGGCACTATTTCAGGTTTGTCTTAAGACTATCCTTTTACCTTTTCAGTTGCCTGCCAACGTTACATTTACTATCGGTTAGATGACGGTAAAGTAGCTGCTTTGGCAGTCTACTGTCGTCCATGCGGGTAACATGGCCAGTCCAACGTAGTTGTTCATGGATAATGGTAGCCTCGATGCTCCTACAGTTGGTGTCATTGAGAATACTGGCGTTTGTTCTCTTGTCTTCCCAGCAAACTCGGAGGATGGAATGTAGAGTATGTTTGTGAAAATTTTCAAGTGTCTTCAGGTACCTCCTGTATGTAACCCATTTCTCACTGCCATATAGCAGGGTGGGAAGGACCACTGCTCGATATACGTGCAACTTTTTAGATAATTTCAGCTCCCTACAGCTGAAGACACGGGTACAGAGTCTGCCAAAGGCTTAAGATGCACACCTGATCAGATGTGTACTGAATCACTGATGGTGTAATGAACACAGTGAACATATTCAGATAGTTGGAAACACCAGAAAAGGTCGCAACACTTCTTAAATTCCTTGACGAAATCTTATCAGACTTATTGTAGTTTAATCTATCTATCTATCTATCTAACTATCTGTCTGTCTGTCTGTCTGTCTAAATGTTTTGACACATTTTACCTTAAGTTGTGTATATCGGCTGCTCTACACAAAATGCATCCATTCCCGCCACCAACATCTTCGCCTGCCCTCCTCCGCACCTCCTCCCCGCTCACTTGTTATTCCTTATACTGATATGGGATTCAGTATCAAAGAGGACGATTCTTCCTCGGACGAACTCAGGTTGATAGGTTCATCTCCCTACTCCTACGACTTTTTGGTTTCAGATTCCATAGGAGTAAGTTTATTTCCCTCTCTCTAAATGTAAATAAGAGAACGCGTCTGGTTGCGCCACCATAATGTTTGCTGTGGCGGTTTTTAGAATTACGAGACTAGAATCCACAGAGGAAGTCGTACAGTAATATACAAATGGAATTATGAAGAGGTAAAGAAAGTAAATAAAATAGAAAGAGGATGAACGAATTACTTATAGATTATGAAAGAAAAGGATAAGCGAAAATGGGATGGTAAAGAGTAATGATAATAATACGAGCAAAATTAGAGAAAATAAAAGTAAGGGAAAGGGAAAACCGGCGAAGAGGATGTGAAAAAAAATAGATAAAGGAGAAGGAAGATTGAGAAAAAAGCTAACAATCTCAAAATGACCAGAAAAAGATGAGAAGTAGATAAACGTAGAGTAACGATAGAAGAAAATAAGTAAAACAAATAGGAGGTGAAGAGGGAATAACAAAAAGGAAAATGGAAAGAAGAAACATAGCAATAAAGCAGAGAGGAAAGGGAGGAAGAGGGAAATTAGAAGTGAGGGAGATTTTAGAAAACTAATGATTTTGTGTTCCTCGAGATGGGATAGGTGGGTATAGAGAGCATGTGATAAACTAGGGTATAAAGAGAACATGTGATAAGCAAGGGTATAGAGAGAGCGTGATAAACTAGGGGATAAGGAGAACGTGATAAACTAGGGTATAGAGAGAATGTGAAAAACTCTGGTATGAAACTCAGGGGTCAACAGAATAAATTGGAATCCATTAATCTTGTGTATTATAGTTGAGAGAGAGAGAGAGAGAGAGAGAGAGAGAGAGAGAGAGAGAGAGAGAGAGAGAGACCAAACAGACAGACAGAGTGTATCACAGGAGACGAATTTTGCCCAAATTAAAAATGCTAAACCTTACGTTCTCCCATGTAATTTCACCTGCAACATTAACATTAATTATCACACATTATAAACTTACATGCAAAAAAAAAAATTAATGAAATCATAATTAATTTTGATTATAAATCGTAATTCCCAATGTTGTCTAATGTCTATTGGATATTTAGTATCTTGATCAATAGCATTATATTAATCTATCAACAGTAAACTAAATTATTTCTTCATTTTTAATATTATCCAAATACTTTACTAACTCGTCGGTATTTAAGAAGTTTCTGGTAGAAACATTTTGTGCAGTGTGAAATAATCTCCATTACTTGTCACCAATATGCAGATTAGGTCTTAACAGCTTAACTTTGACCAAAATATATTCTTACTTGAAACCCTAAAGTATACAGCGCTTCATGTTAACACGAGTTATCATATCGCCTACAAAGACATCTAGTGCGGCTTATTCCTGTACAGATTACAAATGTCCTGTGTAACCCGGAACTACACTCGGTGGGACTGTGTTGTAACAGCTCCAACATGCAACACTGACTTTCTTACAAGGATGTGTAGCTTAAGGGATTATATATAACACTGGTGCCTGTTTGGTCTTTCCACCTATCGTGTACTAAGAGAACACTGTACACCGTCTCAGAGAAAACATTTTGTCAAACCTTCACACGAATACTTCCAGCAATACCCCGTTTGAGTTGTGTTTACGTCTTCCAGGTTGGGTTTTTGTTGATCATCACTTTTTTTTTATTGTGTGTTGATTGCCATAGAATTTGTCAGATCATATGTTGAGATATACTTGTGAATGTTGCTAGTAAAACAAAACTTCAAGACAGATTGTTTATCCCTACTGAATACTAACTTTATTGTACTTATCGGTATTATAACATTTTAAGTGCACTATGATGTAAGTATTCAACTCAAAATTATATATATTTTATTTTTATTTTTCATCGTGCATAGTTTATCAGAAATATTATAGCGTTTATCCTATTGAGCATTTTGATTTTGCAAAGCATTTTAACCACTTTGGAATATATATATATATATATATATATATATATATATATATATATATATATATATATATATATATATATATATATATATATATATATATATATATATATATATATATATATATATATATATATCGGCCTAAGAATAAGAGCAACACAGACAGGGGATTCTAGTAACCTTGATGAGAAGGATGAATAAAGGTTCCAGACATAAGTAAAGTAAGTAAATAAAGTGACGTCACGTCCGATAACATCAGTGCCCCACAGCGGAAGCATTCCATTTTCTATGAACAAATGACGCTAGAAAAGTATTATTGCCAACTGATCATAATTTTATTGCTTATTTACATTAATTTTCTTAAATTGATCATGGGATAAGAATTATGACAGACCTCGAGTGTAACATTTATATATCTTCATGTCTTAGGTGACAGATCAAAGCGTCACCTTTGTAAATAAATTTAAGTTTCCCAGAATCATATATACAGTAAAATGGTAGTGCAATATGTCGCCACGATAAAGTGTCACATGAACGAATAATTTACTGTGTATATGGCCCTTCAGCACCATGGCACTTTGGCACCTCCCCCATGCTGCCACCAAAGTTCAAGTTAAGCGACCACTGGCGCCCACTAAACTCGGGCTATTAAAGGTATATATTTGAGGGAGCAGTAAACAAGAAAGATACTGGAGGCGGATATGGTAACTCAAGCGTGCTGGCCACTGTGAGTGATACCGTCGTCGCGTGTGGTAGTGTGATCATTAGCGTGTTGCTTCCACCAGCCAACGCGACCCGCGACTTTTAGACTCAAACTCCTGGTGCCTCTCACTGGAGGCTCCAGGACACAGACAGCAAAGTGAAGAGGACACGTACACCTCGGAGATCAACGAGACGATGGGTCGAGGGATCAACAAGCCTGAGAGGGAGTAGAGCGTCACTGTTTAACGTCGCCTTCACCTGGATATAGCCAATATCGCAGCCGCCTCACCTCACACTATCTACACGCGAAGTAAGAGACACGGGTAGCCTTCTTCCTTCAAGATTACCTACCTTCTTTATTGTATTTTACTGGGAGCTACAATATTATGCTTTTAATGTCTGTGATATTATCCCTGCTCTCTTATTGACCTCTCCTGATAACCTACTTGTAAAATATATCGCTTTTAGGTCCCCAGTAACAGTCACTCAGTCATTTCTAAGGAGCGTTGCAAGCAATAAGTGTTTTTCCAAAGACTTCAAGTGAAGCTTGTCCGTTAGCTTGTGGTAAAAAGTCTAATGCAAAGGGAAATGGATAAATTAATTGATGAATGGTGAGAAACCTATATGACTGAATTCATATTAACAGCAACTCTATGAAAACCCCCAAAGCAATATTGCTTACAATTCAGAATGATTCAGGTGCTTATCGTTATTATACTTACTACATACTTTCTCCATCAGCTCTAAAACCCGAGATCCACCATGTTATATTAACCGGGACCTCTTAACTTACACATGAACTTTCAAGTAGTGTCGTGGTCATATCAGACTCAGTTGCCAGTATACAGTGTTCACAGCCATACCGATCGTGTGTCTCCCTCCCTCCCTTCCTACTTACATCCCTACCCCCCCCCCCCGCCTTCTTCCCTCCACTTTCCTCCCTCCCCTTCCTCCCTCCTTCCCCTCTCCTTCCTTCCCCCCTCTCTCCTTCGCCCCTCTCTCTCCTTCCCCCCTCTCTCTCCTTCCTGTCGCCCACATCATCACCACTCATCTTGGTGGCCCGTCATCGGCTGATCAATATGGGCTACCATGACGATATGGCTTATGGCTAGTTCTCAGTGCAATATTCACTTTATTACAGTTGCTCTCGTAAGGCGTATCTGAGCTAGATAAATGCGTCTTGACATCACCATTTAAGGAAATTTTTAACCATTGACATTTTAGACTGACGTGTTCGTGCACAACCTAACTCATTATGCCATGCCTTCTATGTTAATGTGTTATATTATTTAATGTTTATTTACTCTCTATCGTAGCTGTATCAGGAAAAAATCGCTACCTAAGAATTCACCTTTTTTCAGCAAAGTAATGAACGTTGGTGGCGTATATATAATAATAATAATAATAATAATAATAATAATAATAATAATAATAATAATAATAATAATAATAATAATAATAGTAATAATAATAAATGACAAGTTGTGCTCACTCGCCTTAGAGCCTGCGAAGACGCCACCAACTTATTAAAGACGGTCTTGGTCACCCGCGCGCAACCGCCCAAATTGCCTCCCTTAGCGTTCTTCTGGAAGTGCGATAAATATCGAAGTACGTGTACGTTAATGCTATTCTTAAATTGGCTCATAAATACGCTAGTTTATTCATCAAAATGCCATCCCGATGTCGTGGTCGTTTTGTTAAGGTCAGTGTGAAGAATCAACTGGAGTACAGATGACAGACAACGTATGCGCGAGATGCTTGATGTATAAATAACGGAGGTAAGGGTAAATATTTTTGTGTATTCTCATAAAAGGCTGGTAACATATCAGTTTTGTTCGTTTCATACTTGGCGCATATATAGATCGAGGCTTTAAAGTGATCCATGTGACAGTGTCTAGTGTAGACAAAAATTTACAGCCTCAGGACTCGGTATTTTCCGTAACAAATTTTCGAGTAAAAAGCTGACATAATTTCACTTTTTGGCTTATAAATTTATATAGTGTTGCATATTTGCACAAGTAAGTGCAGAGTCTTTGCTTTGCAGTATGCATACAACATTAATTTTATAATATAAACTGACTGCTAATGAAAAAATAACATGTTTGAGCCCAGTTTTTATTATATGAAACAAATATACCCCAAATGGACGAGAAGCTTATATTTATATTTCATCATTGTTTTCAAATATAGAAGTAGATTAGATGGTCAAAAATCGAGGTCTGTATCTATTGCGCATCTTTTCTGTAGCATATGTCCTCAATCAAATTTACCACCTATAGGAATCAGACTTGAGGTATTGCCGATGCCTGTACATGTACCCAGCTTATATATGAACTGATGAACAGGTATTGCACAATATTTAGCAGTAGGACGCAACCAAGATGTGAAGCAGTAATTTAAAGACGAGTAAATAATCCTCTCAGTTGTAAGGAAGCAAACAGTAAAACAGGATAAAGAAATTAAAGAAATCTCCGAAAATCGAATATTAGGGGAAAACGAAAATGAAAATTATCCTAAAAATGAAGTTGGATTATGGCGAACTTTGCATCATTAACAAAAAGACATTTCGAAAAACACACCTTTAGTTTTTTATTCCACCAAAAACAAGATAAAACAAGAACTAGGATAAATAACCTCAGACATAATGAAAAAAGTTTTATTAATTCATCCCGTCGAGTAACACACACACACACACACACAGACACACACACACACACACACACACACACACACACACACATAATGAATTATTCCTTAAGCATAAATTCTATGAGCGTAAAAATCTTTCATATTCAGAATCGCATTTTAGAGGCATGGGATTTAACTCATGCGTGAAGCGAATGGAGAAGAAGATTAACTGCAATTGACTGTGAGTGAAAAAGACGCCAACAGAGCCCCACTTCAGCTACAAATCAAACTCACTGCATAATATTTCCAGTCATGTGAAATATACGTGTAATTATATCCAGCTGAGGCGAATTATTTTGTATTATCAGTTACATTTTTTATGATTCTTAAATAATGAATGAATTCCTCCTTTTATTTTTCACCTCTTATGTACAGTATGTGGGTAAAGCCAAGGTATAAACGTGTCTTCTAATTTCAATATATTTTTAAGCCCTACAAGGAATAGCGTCTTACTTAGGTATTTTATTCTGGCTAACACCTAGTGATTTTATTCAGCTGAGAGAACCCCGTACCACTCACTGGGATAATAGGGAAGTAATAAGGGTAATTATGAAGTGTTTATGGATGAGCTACCACAAAAATAAATAGTTGAATAAATAATAATAATAATAATAATAATCGACAAATAATACTGAATAAAATTGAATGAAATGATCCATCTATCACTAATTACTCTTATTTTAACTTGTATATATCTCTTTCATTTAGCCACGTGCAGCCACCCCCCTCCCTACTCCCCAATCCCTCGGCTTGGTTGTTCCTCTATAATGTCTATAAACGCTTGACTAAGTTCAGTACTGTGTAGGCTCTTCTCAGTGTGATGCTCTCCTCTTGCTCCGTGTTCAGTTATTATTCTTCCCCTTCTTATCTCCCGCTTTCTTCGGCTTTCATCTCCGTGTGTGTGTGTGTGTGTGTGTGTTTGTTTGTTGTGTGTGTTAACGTGCCGACTATGGTACACATTCTCTTCCTGTAGGTGTAGGTTCTTAGCTCGCCTACTTCTCAGGAAGATGAGAAGCATTCATCACCTACCTGGCATTGTCTCTCTCGAAGGTGTTTCCAAGCTACCACGGCGATGCCTCTTACCGTGTTGGGTGTTTGAGTCATGTAATAGCTAAAATGTGTGTTCATTTACCTCGACAAATATATAGTTTTACCTCGAGCAGTGGATGTTTAGAAAGGATGTTATTGGTGTTATAAGGTGTTCTAGGTTTGTAATTACCTTAATCATCAAGATTTAAGAGAGTTTACACACCTGTGATTTAGAATGGAACTTACATTTTTACTCGGATGATTGGAGACCATGTGTTGACTGCACTGGGACTAACAGAAGATAGAGAAACAGAAGTATGGGTGGACCATTGTTTTAACAGAGTTTAGCTTTGGCAGAGTGATTTTATCTGTAAAAGTGAGGTCGTGTTAGAAAAAAAAGGCCAGTATATGTTTCTTTACCTAAAATTGTTTACCTTATGTACACAAATCACATGAATAAATTTGAAACTAAGTTGATATGTTCATGTATGTTTACAAAGAGAAAGGAAATGAGTAACAATTAGTTCGGAAATGAAATTGTGGATGAGTGCAACAAGTTAAAAACACCACCATTAACTCTAACTGGTTGAGAACTTCCAAGTATAGGTTAAACAGATATAAAAAAAATGTAAAGATTGGGTGTAAAAAGGGGCTGCCTCGTATAGGCCAGTAGGCTTAGTGCAGTTCCTTTATTCTTATGTTCTTATGTATATAAACTTAAACATATGTGCACAGTGTACATCCATACGAGCATATCAACACGAACTGAAATATAATCTAATACTTTTATATTCAAATATACAAACATATAAAAAGATTTAATGGATATATGTGGACATGTGTATATACGCACACATGTCCGGACAGACGAGGCAAACATAACAGAATAGCGAGGGGTGATAGTGGCAGTAGGGAGAGGGGGGGGGTTGTCATGTAACCCACGACAGGGAATTCCTGAATCACTGAGATAAAACACTGGATCAGGCTGTGTAGCGACCAATAACGGTGTATTAAATGTGCATGATCGTGTCCACGAGTCCCTGTTGCCTCCTTGTGTCTGATGCTAACTCTGTTGCTCTCATAATGCTATTGTTCATGTTGTGTTTAGTATAATTCGCGGTAAATAATGTGTATTTTAGTTCCTAGAATGTCGTCAATTGCAAGTCTTCAGTTTATTATTGTTCCCAGTACAGTGTGTGTGTGTGTGTGTGTGTGTGTGTGTGTGTGTGTGTGTGTCTGTGCACAGGGTGGTGTAATGTATCTAGTGTGGCAACATTATGTTAATGTTAAAGTGAAAGCACTGCTTGCTCCCTCTTGCGTTCAGCTAGCGCCGCTGACTAGCATCTCGTGGTGAACAGGGAAGCAACTTGCACAAGTCTTCCCTTGCCAGTACACAGCCACTTCACCATCAAGACTCCTGCTGTGCCTCCTCGTGGCAACACATGGTAACTGGGTACCTCATAGGCCTAGGCTAGACCAGCAGGGGATCTCGGAGCAGCATGGGCCCCAGAGGGATGGCGCATAGGCCCACTGGCATGTGGACACGTTCTGGCGCCTGCCAACCACTCCCCCGCTCCCTTGCGGATTAACCTT